CCCATATCTCTATTCTTGGCCAAGGTGGAGTTTGAGCGCAAACATCGCCATTCTCGAAATCGTAACCGGTCTGCAAGCTCCTTTCGAGAAACCTCAACTAGTCAGCCAATACGGGAACAGTACCACGGAAACACGGCAGCCCACGCCCCCTCCCCCAGAACCCCTTCCCCCAGGCGTGGCAAACCCGGTAGTTACTAAACGTTTCAGGCCCCCCCCCGTATTCTCGGCAATCCGTCCAGCGACATCGGAATCCGTAAAAAAGACCCCCTCAAATCGGTGAACCGACGGGCAGAGCGAGAAAGTGGTCCATACGAGATTTGGGGTTCCAAAACCTGGGGACACTGTCGCATGCGCTTTGGGCAAACTATCTCGTGCTAGCTTCGTTCGTGCAATTTCGATTAATCCCGTGTTTGGAGGGAGCAAGGAAGCTGGAGAACACAGTAAGGACTCGCGATGAAGGTTGGCCATCGAACAGTCACAGATCACTACTCTTCTACCGGATGGAAAAAGCATTCGCCCTTTGCGGCTAACAAACAGTTGAATAATAACCAAACGATTCCTTTGACCTCGTTGAGCGCTGCATACACATCCATGACAGCACGGAAGATCAACCTCCGTGTACATAGATCCCGTGCCCTTTACCCCATAGATTCCGGCTCTCGATCCACGGAGTGTGAGATCCCTTCATTGTTTCGCTATGCCGGCATAGAATGAATATGAGAAGTATATGAACCCTAGACCAAGGACGGCTGGCCGCCTCTAGCGCTGCCACTGTTGTTGTGAAGGCGTGGCAGTCAGGCCCTCGTATAGTTGGCTGTTGTCTGGGTTAACCTATTATTTTCTAAAATGATACCAACATTGATTCAGCCCGTCCTTTCGGCTATTCCAGCAGCCATCAACGCCGACATCGAATTTCGTACTTCTGCGAGCAGACGACACAGTCCTCTCATCAAGACGCGATGCAGAAGACGAGCTGCGATCGCTATCAAGATGGCGTGTCACCGAAGCCACTCGCGCGCAGTATGGCAGAGCACAAGGCATCGAGTTCACCTCTCCGCACGTCCGAATGACTGGAGAGAATTCTTCGCTGAAGTTCCCGTGCGCCGTGCAGTCGTACTGGGCGATGTTGCGAGTCTTGGGACACAATCTCGGTATGCAGGTACTAGGTGATATGCCGTCCTTCACCCGAAATGCCCGTTTATGGAGGATATCTCTCGACCGAATTCGAGATGTCATTCATTCCAAGCCGCCACCAACGGAGTACGTCGTATACGAAGAGGAAGCAGAAGATGACAGCATCATCGGTCGATATATCTGGATAGATTCTCCTGGCTGGGGAAAATCAAAGGTCTTCTGCGAGTCCGCAGGAGCCGGGCCGCAGCATATTCTATTTCTCCACACAGCCGGCGCGGATTCCCGCCAGTTTCATCCCCTGATGAATAACCGCCAATTGCAACGGCGCTGCACAATGTTCGCTTTCGATCTCCCAGGCCACGGACGCTCATATCCGGGCTCGAAAACTCACCCTGAGGGATTTGTCAACGACGAAGAGCAGTACGTTGGTGCCATCAAGCAAGTCATCGACAAACTCAAGCTTCACCGTCCCATAGTCTCCGGAGCCAGTATGGGTGGACAGGTGTGCTTAGCAGTGGCCCTACACGCCAAAGAACTAGGAGTCAGCGGTGTTATCCCATGTGAGGCCTGCGACCATCTTCCTCTCACTCAGCCCATATATCACTTACCTGGAGACCAAAATGAGACGATCCTCAATGCCGAAAGGGTTTGCGGGATGATCTCTCCAACTGCCCCAACCTCTAACAAGAAACTTATCTGGTGGACCTACTCGTCGCAAGGCACGCAGATGTTCCATGGTGACCTGAAATTCTATTTCCAAGGTTGGGACGGACGGGAACGGATGCATCTCATTGACACTAAAACTTGTCCGGTCTACATGCTTACCGGCGAGTACGATTATTCATGTACTCCCCAGATGAGCCAGGAGACTGCGAAGAAAATCCCAGGCGCCAAGTTTGAAGTTATGAAAGATTTAGGACACTTTCCGATGTCGGAAAACCCCACAATCTTTTTGAAGTATTTCGTTCAGGGGCTTGAGTATATTAGCAGTGTCTGCAAGTCGCCTGTAATATAATATCGGACATTCTCCGTATTCATTGGCAGCTTGTTGCTTCCATGAACAGTTTGGTCCCTTTGCTTTGCCCGTGTGCATATTTAATTGAGTTTCGGCATTTCGGTAAAACCTCGAAAAGATGAGGAGCCAGGCTTGAAAGGCGAGTTTAGGAGAAGATCAGAAAGTCGGCACATTTCCTGTGCTCAGCCATATTCTAGATTTATTAGTTAGTCTCTCGGATACAGTAGAACGACCACCAGTGATCCAAAGGTTACATGGTGCCCGCACTCCGATGCTTCGGCGTCGGGTCCAGCCCACCGAAATTTCCATTTATCAAGACTGAAGCATAACTAATGCTTTTTATGTCCAATAGATGCGCGGGCGATGGCTAACTTAACCCAAGGAGAGTTGGTGAGATGAACGTGCCAAGTCATCAAATCCTCTTAACATCAGCGCCCGTTGGTTTCGAGGCACGTCTGAAATATTAGATGTTCTCAGGACTTAATAGAGTCCGGATCCGGCGGTATATCCTGCGTCTAGACTGTCTGATGCTATGAGCGACTTGCCTGGTCTGCATCGGCATAGAGGAACTGGGGAGTAGATAATGGGGTAAAAGCCTTTTTTTCAGACCATGGGATTCGACACAGAATCCGCCTAGACTCCAGCTGTTCACGTTAGGCAAAGGGTATTAATCCATTTGTTGTCTGTGTGAAGAATGAATTGCAAGTGGAAGCACTTATTAAGGGGAAGGTGAACAGGTGCATCATGTGACCGGGTGGTTAACTAGCAATCGTCTGATAATCAACACAGCAGCAGAGCGTCGTCAACGCAATTGTTCCAGTGGCAGCCCAAAGGCGTTCAACGCTCACTCATTATATATAACTACAAATAACTCTCAGCTGCTGCCTTTCTGCTATACAACGCTTTGCTCAGATTCTCCCTGTCGCATTTCCATCTCTCTGTAAACCGCCCCCCTTTCTCACAAACCATCCCCGACTCGAAGATCCGCAAAATGACGCGAGCGCAACAATCGCTTTCCATCATCCTCCTCGTCACATCGGTAAAGCTGAATCCCAATCTCCCCAAGACGCGCCTAATCAAACGATGCTAACCCCCCATTGTGCTCGCACAGCTCTACCTCGCTCTTTATCTCGGCCTCGTTCCTCTGAACGGCGTGGTCCAAGCACAACTCATTCCATACGTACGCATTGTTCTTAACCCCCCTCGTTCAATTCGCGATACCTTTTTAAATACTAAATCCGAATGGTAGCTTCCTGCATACGCGATCATGGCTCTTGGCTCATATTTACTCTTCCGGCTCGGTTGGGGCGTGTTTAGCTTCAACGACGTGCCGCACGCGCACAAGTCTTTGCAGGAGGAAATAGTTACTGCGAGGAATCAATTACGGGCCGCAAAGGTGGATGTCGATTGAAACGACGTACGCGTCTACCTTTGGAAATCCCCTCTATGGATTGGCGGGCGTAACTTTTTTTTTGAGGGGGGCATGGGATTAAATGGATACTTCAGACTGTCGATATTTCCAACCGGGATGAGAGTGTCGGCGCTCAGGTTCCGTTCTCCATGTTGCTTATTGCAATAGAAGGCTTTACGTATGGCGGCATTGGAGGTTGTGGAGCTTTCAGGGATTCATTGGTTGGTTCATATAATTTTACACATCATGTATAGAATAAAATCACATACCTAATGTTAGAACAGTCAAGCTTCCGGTTGTGTGCACAATCTGGCATCACAATTGTTAAACTTCTTTGGACGAAAGCAAGCTGATGCAGTTCTAGATCTTCTATCCACAGGAACATACAATAGTAACCTCATAGAATTACTCTATTAGAATTCTTTTTCGTCTCTTCTTTCACTATGGCTAGATTTGACCGAAGCTGCTTGTAGAAATCAAGATTCAGGTCCTGCAGCCAGGTCTCAGCAAGGGTGTACCCAAGCCCTGTCAATCCACAGACTTACATATGTCCTATCCCTGTTCATTCTTTGAACTTTATGTTCTTTGAGGTGCGGAATATCTTCAAAAGGAAAATCTAAAAAAAAAAAAAAATCGAGCACGGAACTTTCGTCCGTTGTATAGATCATGACACCAATGGATTTTCTGCAGCAAGTCTGTCGTGCTCGTCGATGTCCCTATACATACACCCGTATTAGTGAATCGAACTTCACAGACTAGGGTATACATCACTGATAGTGTGATCAAACGTACTTGGCTTCCCATGGATAACAGATCCAAACGTCTTCGGTGGTAACAGCGGCAAGATATCGGTCGTCTTCCAGCATTTCTGAAGGCAGTTTTCCCTTTTTCTCCTTGTTTTTGTTCTAAAGGACAATAAATCAGCACCATACCTGAGGCGTTAAAGATGGATATACACCATCCGAATATCGCAACATGGGATGACTCACATGAAGCACAAATATCGAAAATGTGGTTTTCTCTGCTTGGCGACCGAGCTGTTGTTGAGCAAGTTCCACATCTTTCTCGAGTTCCCTGACAGCATACTCCAAGGTTGTGCGCGTATCATCCACTTCGTCAACGATTAAGACATTTTTGCCAATCAAATTCGCCATTTCAAGCGAGCTCATGTCCAGCCACTGAGTCCTTGTGACCTTGGTTCCTGGCGCTTCGATATCGCCTTTGCCCAAATCTTCGTAGAGGGAAAGCCCAATGGCTTGGATTGGAATATTTGGTGCGCCGGGCCGCTTAAGGAAGGATCTGCGAATTCCATCTTGTTAACGCTACTTGCAAATCGCGTGAGGTCTTCTCGATAAGTCGGGATACGAATCTTAAGGGTTGGACCCCGGTTGCAACGCACCTCAGCATTCTCGCTGGTACATATCCTCCTCCTCCGATAGCAATCATGAGATTTGGCTGGAATTTATTCAGGATTCTGTCAGCAGACTGCTGGCATAGTTTATGCACCTGGAGGTATCAACAAGCATTATTAGCACGATATGCTATTCAAGTAGAGAACGACCACGCCGCCCATAGACATATCGCAGGGCTAGGAGTCGTTATAACAGTATACTCCTTCGGCATACCTGGTTATACGTAACGTAGACTTTTTCAGGCATCTTGTGGTTGGTATCGGAGCTCTAATCCTTCTGAGTTGTAAGAGGTTGAGCTTCAAAGCTTGCCGGAATAAAAGACTAAATAATCCGTTCGTAACCCAGACGTTAGACAGTTTGCGATCCGCGAGCTATCGCTCCCTTTCGTCTAATGGTGGGGGGTTGGAGGGGCTTACAAGGCTTTGAGCTGGAGAGCTTGCAGAGATAAAACGCCACCAAGCCGCCGGGTAGAATAATATGCTTTGCAGTAGAAAGAGGACAGGTTTCTATTCAGCAAGAAGAAGCGATGAAAAGAGAAAAAGGGCGTCCGGACAGTGCAGGCAAAGCTGTCGGCAGCAACCGCGCAGAGAAACTTTGGACTGCGGGAACACAGCGCCAAGCCATGCCTCGATAAGGGCAAAGCCCTAGTCTGTGCTGATTGGTGGACAGAAGCGCCATGAGCCGCTTGAGCCGCGCGGGTCGGGCAGGTGACAAACACGACAAACACCAAAGGCGCACGGAATTCGAGGCGAGGAGACGGCAATCCAGTCTACATATTCATAGATTTCTGATTGACAATTCAGGGATTTCTCTGACTAGGAGTCATGTTTACGACAACGATGAGGTTTTATGACCCAGGTGTCGGTACCAGAGATTAACTGTGGGCAGGCAGAACCAGTATCTGCAGCAGCTGAAGTACAATCGTGCCACGAATCGATGGACAGTTGTTTATATTTCCTTTTAACCATTGCAGGCATTAATTTAATCAATGTGGAAGCTGGGTAACCTCTCGTTACGGATATGCGCAGCCCAGCACCAATAGTCAGTCGTGCAAACCAGCATACAGAGCCGAAGCGATCTCCGAAGAATCCAATCAATGGCACAGCCGTGATTTGACGACAGGGCGTGGCTGCTCGTTAATGGAGGCCCCATGCATATGCTGATTCCCGATTGCCATACACTCCTGTCCCAGCTCAAGATGACTGTTGCAGTGAATGATCCCATGGTCGATCAACTTCTGCGCAACCTCCAACAACCACACCCTGCAGGTAACGCCAGGAATCGAATTGACATTTGCATCATACGATCGTATGATCTGGTCCAGTTCGCCATGCTTCGTTTCTGGCACGGTTGCGATTTCGATGAGAACGCAGAGAAAATTGGCTCCGAAAATACCGTTTGTCGGCTCGTGGTCGACAATCCATCCGCTCCCCAGGTTCCGAATGTGATACTTGGTTCCTCCCAGGGGGCGTGAGTGGAAGTAATAAGCCCAGTGAAAATCGTTGGCCACGGGCGGGTCGGACCGGATCCAAAGGCCAATGTATAGGCTATTCAACGGAAGGGCAGCCAGAGCTTCTTTTTGCATTCGTTCGACCGCAACCGCTCGTTCTTTGGCCGAGCCTTGCGATTTGACATGGGGCGAATTACCGGAAGACATCAATGGCGGGCTAGTTGCGGACATTGTGTGGGCGAGAAACAAAATGCTTTAAAAAGGAAGAGTCCGATGAGACGCGACTTGTCGATTCGAAAACATTCCCGTAGCGGTTTGGAGAGACGGCTTCACTGTATCATCATCTCGATTGCATGGAATCACGGGGATCAGGCAACCACCGACCTCCAAAATACATTGTTGAATCTACTTCAAACCCCCAGTCAACTCAATGCGCCAGATGCTCCTAATATGTAGGAGAATATCACACAGGCCAATGCCCTGGTTTTAGTTAACTACAAAACCGGCCACTAAGGAATCGGATTGCTCTCGACTTCAGTACTCCGTAGATGTAACATTATATACAATTACAACATTTTTCACCCAAGTTATATTGCATACAAAGGTTGCGGCAAACACTTGATTCAATAAACAAGCGTTACGGGGCAGGAGGGACAAGAATGTGTAAACTCCGTAAGTGGCGTGGCTAGGGGTTCAAGCCTCCATAAGCTTGTGTACGGAATGCCAACCTCGAAGTACGAATTTGCTATCCAACTCCACATATGTGGCTACTCCGGAATCCTCTAAGACTGCCCTCTGACATTCCGCAGCACTTCAGCAATAAGAGACTCTAGGAAGCCCTTCTGATTCCCATTACCAACGGTCACCCATCAATAAATTCATCTGTTCATTGATCGCATGATGGGCTTCCTCCCGGCGGAAAGCATCAGGCCAACCGTATTGCCGATAAAGCTGCCTGAGATACTGGATATCTAGGTCGGTTGCCCACGTCTCTGTCTGGGCACCGACTTCGTCCTCGCTGATTTCGTCGGTTCGTTCGTCCACCTCATCCGCCTCGATAGTCTCCCTACCGTCCAGAGGAATGAGCGTTAGGCTGCGATGCTTCTCCTTGAGGTCGTTAAAGAAAGTCCGGACATCAACTGGATCAAGCTGGTCGGACCGGACCCTGTGCTCGGTGATCTCACCAGCCATCGTGTCGAGGAAGAGAGTGCGGCCAAAGGATTCATGACCCTCCGCGATGCAGAAGATGTGAATTGGATCGGCCTCGCCTTCAGTGGACCACCACTCCATACCCTCCTCGCGGTAGTCTGGTTGAGTAAAGTGAACCGGATCCAAGGAAGTATAGTCGATCAATTCCGATTTATAATGTATCGCTGCGCGGCTATTGAAGTACGGTAGACGTCGTAGGACCTCAATGGCGTGGTCGCTCTTCCAGTCTCCGCATATTTCGGGAGTGAAGTTTGGCCAACCTTCGGAGGGGGCGATTTTAAGATCCGCTGGGTTGTAATGCAGTGTTGTGAGAGAGGTATAGAAGTCTAGGAAGATTTCAGCCAGTTCGGCGGGCGTATACTTTGGAGTGGGAGAACCAGGCCTGCTTGACACGACTGAGTCTGAATCCGAGTCTGCGGGAGTGGACGACAGCACTCGAGAGCTAGAAGCAGGTTTACGGGTGGAAATTACCATCTTCAAGGGTTTTGGAACAAGCGGTGGCCGAGTGGCCTGAGTCAAGGTGGTTTGATAGAAGAGACAAAACTCCCGAGGGACGGGAGTGAGTTTTTAACAATCCAGGTCCAAGGGTTCCTTGGCATCAATAGTGAGAACCGCCCTAGGCAACCATTAGGTTGGAGATTGAGAATCGGATGTTAGTTGGCAATAAATCAATCGCAAGGCAAAGAGCGCTAGGCATCCAGATGACAGCTTAGAATGTGAAGGTCAACTCATTTGCTAGTATTAGTATATAAACTTCGGAGGCTTGGAGTTTCTTGGGTTTCGGGAATGCGAGATCAGGCACCTCGAGGTGACGGAGATCTCTTGATGGATTAAATATTTGTATACGAGTTGGTGCCTATTACTCCGTAGATTCCTAGCCTCTTGGAAGAATTAGAGTGTCATCCACAAAAGCTACAAAATTATAGAACGCGTATTATCCATTATTTTTCGGTAAACCCCCCAGCAGCGAGTGATAACGGCGTATAAAACGCCAGGTTACCTATCGGGGCCCCTCGCATCAGTGTAATTTGGGGCCCGCCACCCTGATCTTGGAGTGAGGCTTTCCATCGAGGATGAGATTTCCATCGTTCCGTGCCGAGGGTTGCTTCGAGAAGTATACGATTTAAGAGGAATGGTCGGGGCGTTGGAGACGGGCCGCCGAGATGCGCTTTCTCCCGTGCCCTTGGTTGGATCATGATCGGTAGCTCTAGAGGTTTTGCGCAAGAAACGAAACGTGGGAAGACATCCAACAATGATGGCTGAAGGACGACGTTAGCGTCGACGTCCATTGCGCAAGGGAAGCAGTACAGGAACAATGGGCATAAATTTATAGCACGCCACATACCGGTAGTAGCTTCAACTGTCCCCCAGAGTGCGATCCATTGGATATTCGGCGAAGTGATCCCAGTAGTCGAGTTGATTTGGACAAGACGAAGTATTGCCGTGATCATACATAGAATACCGACGGAAAACATTGCACTGGCAGCAAATTTTCGTTGACGAGAGATACGTAAGTTCCAAATGAGCCGTAGCGGGAGTATCATAACTACGGTAACGGGATAAGCAACTCTCTCCCCCTTCGTCGCAAGTGCTATAGGGGAAAGTGAAACTCACTCAATATGTCAGTGGACAAGTCCGACGCGAATGCACCCAATAGGCTTATATTGCGTGTCAAATTATCTGTCGGCGACTGGCAATACTCTAACAAGACGATAAGCAATTCTCGCCAGGAAACATGCGCCGGATAAGGAAATCCGCCAGCTTGGACGTACTTTTATGGATCCCGCTGATCCTCGCAGGCCCACCGCAAGCCATTATCGTGCTGAGAAAGCAAAATAGATAGGTAATGATGGTATAGGCCAGGACCACAGTCCACCAAAACAGCTGGGCCGGCAATCCCTTCATCAATTGTCGGAAGAAGAGGAGCAGTGATAATTTGATCGACCAAAGCGTAGAGAAGAACACAATGGTTCCCGTAATCGTAAGGACCGTTGTCTTCTGCCTGTCTTGCGCCATGGTTGGATAAGGCGGAGCGTTTCCCAATACAACACGACCGACTCGATAGACCAGCGGTTGTATATGCAGTAGCATGATCTCAAATGTAAGAAAGAGGGCATATCCCAACACGATAAAGATAACCTCCAGTTCTTTCAGCCTGTTGTGTCTCCATCGAAGGTACGCAGTTGGGATAAGAAAGACCGAGCCCACGACCGTCAAAGCAACGACAACGGCATAGAGATCATGCTCAGCAATAAATACTTGTTGAGAGGGCTCGACATGTTGTTTCGGGTCGACCATCCTTCTGCTACGCGCAGAGAAACGTGTAGGACGCAATTCTCAGTGCCTCGACGACGGAAGATGGTTGACAGATGTCACGTAAAACATTCCCTTTCACCAACTCGCAGCCCTGGAAACGATGAGTACCCTTTTCCGCCAGAAGGACATGCTGTCAACAAAGGTCAAGCTTCAAGTGCAAAGAATGCGCTTCCTGGGATGGAGGATGGGGAAGTCTGGGCGTTTTGATGCTTGAATCATGGCTTTCAAGCGCCGCAGCCCTTGTATATCCGGGATGGAATCTTTTAAGTGCAGAGCCAACCGATGAAGGACGGCCTGAAATCTAAAAGCAATGCCTGCTAACAGGGGTCGTGTCTGTTGGAGGCCGAGCCATCTATCTTGAGACTGCGTTTGATTCGCTCACTGCTGGCAAGGGGATGGAAACTCGTTCGCACTAACTACCGGCTGCGGGCCGCAACAGCCGTGATTGGCAAAGCGCGATTCAAGGCGAGAAAAGCACGCTTGAAGTCGTTGGCTGGAACTTATCAAGTCAGGCAGGTCGGGACGTCTTCTCGTCTCAAAAAGCGCACCGGGACGAGGAAGATATGCTGGGAAGAACAGACAAGAAGCCGAGGCGGACGCGCTAAGAGAGCCAACAGCTCGCTTGTTACCCTGTCTGTTTGTGCCCGGGGCCCGGGGGACGGGTTGTTAACTTGTTGCCAGTTGGTGGCTTTTCTTTTTTTTTTTTGGCGGTCACTGGTCAACAAACCGAAATCGCACTTTTCAAGAAATTGGTGATCTCAGCCTTCCGCTCCATATGTTTCAGATGCCGGCCATAGTTAGCTCTCCAGGGGAATCCCTGCCGTGTCTCCTCATGCAACCCGATCCTGATTTAACCCCAAGGGTGTTCTTCTGTTGGAAGAAGGCAAGAAAAAGCGCGAAAAAAGCAACGCTGTCAATCATTGAGAGTGCCAACAACACACATTGAACCAGCATCAAGGCTGGCACAAGACTGTCCCTGGATCTCCCCGATGAGGTTTTGTCGAGGGGTTTTCACTCCTGAATTTTGACTCTGAAGCACCATGATTATTGTACGAAAATGATACCCTCTCTGGACCTGGAGCTTGCAGGGCACGTTGCTCGCTGAGAAGTTTCTCCGAGGCGGCTGTTCGCTTTCTGTATGCAGGCATGAGCTGTAGATGAGATATGGAACTACAGTTCCAGTTCTGAGAGAATAAGTTTCGTGGAAAGATGCCCTCTTGAGGCTTGCGTTACAACTTGCTCTCCGAAACACACAATGCTTTTGAACCCGATACCAGTGGCAATCACGACACAATCCGTCAGGGCTCAAGTTTGTTCTGAGAACTGGATCGACGGAACTGCTGTATTTAAAGCTCTGCAATTGAGCTCACTGGTATAATGCTTCCTCGAAATTTTATTCTTGTCAGAAGTGTGGATTATTGGCCAGCCCATCAGCGCAACTGGAGATCAGGAAAGGAGCTTCACAGCAGCCTATATATGGATTTTTCAAATTCAAAACCCCCAGTTACAGGGGGCGTGAGATGCCGGCCTCGAGAATCAAGGTCGCCTTGGTTTCTCGCACCCATTTTCTCTGTATGGCTCTTTTCTGTTAAATATAGCCGTTAGCGCTGGACCCCCAATTTCAATCCATAATGTATGCTGGCTAACTGGGAGACACAATATATCGATAGTACGGGTATCACCCCAGTTTGTGAGACTGCGCATTCTACATATCGCCCAGAGAGGGCATATACATCTTAACGTCACGAACTTCTGCGGGTATTTGGTTGGAAGAATCTGGGGCCTCCGTTCATGTTATGGATACGGCTTCCTTTGAGGTTTTGGAGTTGTACGAGGTAGGAGTTGACGACATAGCAAGCTTTTACTCGTGGGTCAGTTTTTTCCCATACTTTGTCAAGGGGTTCTCCGGGAACGGGTTCCACAACGAGCTCATACATGCCCTGGTCGGCTTCCCTCTTGTGATAGACTTTAAGACCTGGAACAGTGGTGTTGGTGGCAATAGAGCGCACGGCTGCAGCCTCTTCTAGATCAGCAACAAGCTTTTGAGGACTCTGCGCTCGTTAAGAGGGATAACCTTGGATAGGCGAGGGACATGTATAGCACTTGCCCATTGCCCTCGACAGTACATATAAGTTATCATGTCTGAATCGATCATCGGCTTCCGTTATCCATTTTTGTGTATGAATACCACTGAAGCCGTCGAGCAACTAGACCATATAGTCAGGATGAGTGGCGGCTCTGAAGCTGTAGACTCAATAGAGAATAGAAATCTAGCCTTCGTTCTGTGTCGAGCACTATAGTAGCCAAAGAGATCGTTGCTCATCGCACAAATTCTAGCCGTTCCTGTAAAGTATGGCCAATATAGCCATCTCCACAGGCCAATCAAGGAGTGTCTTCCGTTTGTTCACCGTGCTGCAGGAATCAACACTTCGAGAAAGGAATTAATGCTGTTCACCAGGATTAGATACACACTAAGTTCTTGATTGATCTCAGTTTGCCTGCCATTCTAGACGACGAGGCGAATGTAGAGACGATTAAAAGAAAGAAAGTGGGATGCAAGCGGTAGTATATACGTAGCCAAATGGGTGATCCCATTTAGCTACATATGCCTCTAGCTACTCAGCCCGTGCTGAATTGGTACTCGTCGCGTCAGGATATTAACAGGCGAATAGATATCCCACCCTGCGGTTCTGGTTGCACTGGAATCTCGTTAGGAAAGGATTTCTCCAGCCATCCGTTCGTCCTCGTCGAAGCACCACACCTGGATGCCCTCTCCACACATGGCACCAAAGAATATATCGTCCCCAAAGCAATTTCGCATGGATAAGCACTCATACACCTTGCCTTCCTTTATAATGGTTTGGTTAAATGCTGTTTTAGATGGCCAGAACATGTCATCACTTCCGTAGTCAAGAATATCTGGGGCGCAACTATCTTCACAATTGTTCATACAGTATACCAAGTGGTCGTGTAGGACGGCCCCTCTCCCCAGTCTTTGGAATCGATCAAACGCTGGTCTGTCGTATAGTCTAGCAATTGGTTTGCCCAGGGACTTGCTGTAGGTTATAAAGACGAAGGTTGCGATTTTCTCGCCGTAGTACAAGTATAGGATAACGCCTTGCATGCCGTCTAGATATACATGCGGGGAGGTGGGGAAAGTGGTACACGGCCTAGGGGAAGAGCACAGGACATATGGACGGCGGTCGGGGCCACTCTCATCGATGGAATAAGTCGAGACGATCAATTCCGAGAGATTAGAGCCTTCATTGAAGTCATCGAGAATTTCCACTTTTCCATATACGTTCTTCCAATGCAATGCGTTCAATATCCGCTGTTGTGAGTCCAGAAATATATGGAACGGTTCCGGCTCAAATTTTATCTCCCGGGATGCGCTGGACTGAAAGTCCCAAACGATCACCGAGCGCGATTCCGCCATGCATACAGCAATAGTTTTGCCATCAACAGAGATGCCGTTCCGGATATATCCCTCAAATCTCTTGTAGTTGGCTGAAGGCAAACGGAACATTTTTGCTTCCCCTGATTGATAATCCCAAACTCGACAGCAGCTAACAAAGTCAGATTCAAGATGGCAATGGAGAGGCAATGCCACGAAGTACGCACCCTTGAAAAGTGAAGGCGGCCAAAATGCTGTTAGACACCCGAACACAAGCAATGCTTTGCCGATTGGTGGAAATAAACGACTTCAATGTTCCAGTTCGTATGCAAAGGAGACGCACCATTGAGATATCATCGGAAGCGCGCCATGCGAGCATTCCGTCCAAGTAGGATATCAGATCCGGGCCATCGCCAAAGCCAATGTCTGAAGAATAGGGATAAAGGGCCTTACTGACTGGCCTACCTATTCGTTGGGCCGCTGCACGCTTGGTTCGCTTCAGGAAATCCGTTTCCCATCCTTTAGTCGTGGTGATGAGGGTCCCATGCCTGAAGGAGCGGAAACTGCTGCTGCACACTGCTGCTGATGAAAATATTTCATTCCACCGGCATGAAACCTGAGTAGCCGGGACATCAGAAAAGAGACCCCATGTAACTAGTCGGTTCCCTGAACATACCCGTCTCAACCGGACTGTTTCCAGTGGCTCTATGTAACTTGCTATTTGTGCAACCAGTTCGATTGGAAGCTGTGCAAGGACATCAAAATATAATCTTTTGTGAAGCAAATTCAGCATCTCGTGGCATTCATCATGCTTGAACTCCGTCGCCAAAGCACGGCATCTGCAAAGTTTATTAGCACTGTCCGCCTGGGTCGTGCAGACCTTTGGGCGTCAATCTTCGAGAAGAAAAGGAATCTTGTCCTCGAAATGACCCCGAAGATCCCAAGATGGTGATTACGGGACATACACATCTCTCCGCGCTTCAGCGGTCAAGGCCCGGAAGGCGTCGAGGAGACTTGCGGCATTCGAGAGAGATTGGTCCATGATTGACGCCCTTTTCCGTTCGGACTAGGCGCCGTTGTTATACGAGAAATCTCTTAGCAGCGTTACACAGGAAGCGTGATACAGATTCTTCTAGTAAAGACGATCAGTGGTCGGGTGCCAGCCTCGCAGGAGAGGCGCCCGTACCTGGGCAAGCCTCCAGGGAAACAAAGGCCAGAACAAATGCTCGAACAAAGCGATCATGCATTCATTACTCCGAGAGGGAGTGGATGCAGGCCTGTGCAACCTGGAGATGGCATTGATTTGAGGACGGGCCGCAGCAGCACAGGTGAATGAATTGTGTGGGGAGAGAATGGAAGATGCTTTGATTTTCGAGGAAAAAGCAAAGAAGCCAAAGCTAAGCCACGCATGAACTGGATTAAAATTTATAACCTTCCTGAAGACTTCTACGGAGTGATACTCTTGAACTGAATGGCAGTGTTTAGGCGTGAATTAGTTACTCAAGCAGCTGTTGAGAAAGACTGGCATTATTCGGGGGTCTTTTACGCTTCCTCCATACCGAGGGATCAAATTAGCCAGGAATAACCTAGCTGCCAGCTATGTTTCGAAATCCTGTGTATTTCCTGTCAAATATGCAGCATGTCGTCGTGGGAAAGCTTGGAGAATACTACGACGGCTCCACTTGATTCGTTTAACCTCGAGACGGTTGTGGCATTCGGGGAATCCGTAACAGTTGCAAAGATCTTGATACAAACCTATCAAGGATGAGGTTGTCACGTTCGAGAGCTCAGCTCGAAGCGTGTTCCTCAAGACACAGGTATCCGAGGAGTTCCTGCAATTTCTCCCGGTGTAGTCCAACTGCTCCGGTTATCATGTTGACATGGTGAAACTTCCTCATCCCGTTGTCAAATCCCGAGAATGAAGGCCTGAGAGCTGTTTCGGGAGGAGTGCATCGCAACGTCGGTCGAGCACGGTGGTGTTCCTCCTCGTGGACCGGTAACTGTCAGTCTCAGCACGGTGCCGAGAGCCTGGCCTTATGACCCCAATTATACGGAGCCCGAAACCAGGGGTTCTCATAGATCTGCGAACCTGGAAGACGGTCGCAACCGGTTGGTAGGCGATAGTTATTATCAAGGAGCGGAGGCCCGGGAAAGAGGCGTTCGACATGACCTGCAGGTTGCAAGGGATCTCCACAGCCATGCATGTCCTGCAGCAATGGTGGATGGAGATGTGCTTCGTGTGTGTCCCCTCGAGATCGGTGGTGACATGGAGATGTTGCAGTCCTAAAAAGAACATGTAGACCCGTCAGCACGATGAGTGGGAAGATCAAATCGACGACAGGAAGGTTACAGATCTTCCCGTCTCTGCTCGTCAGTTATTAGTAGGCCCGTTAGTTAGCTAGTCGCTCGGCTCAACGCCCTTGACAGCTCTCAAGCGACGAACTAACCGCCATCTCTCGACCTCTCCTCTCCCTCTGCAGCGAACGACCAGGACAGTCGAACAGAAAACATCGCCAATATCAATCCTGCGCCGTGAGAAGCAATCACTCCGTTGACCCGTCCCTCGACCTGACGGCGAATTGGGGCTCTTTTGCTTTTTCTGGGGCCAGAAATAGCTCGCGCAGTGTCTGCTCAGCCTTTCCAGTTCATCCTCGTAAAAGAAGTAAGTCATGATGCTCCCGTCTCCAATCACGCCTCTGGTCTGCAGCTTGTCGTCCTGCGAGCATCCGGTCGGGTAACCGCTGCAAGCACGGCTCCAACGAAGCTGCTGCTCGCCTGCGGTCGAGTGTTCTTCTGCAGGTCCTCCCGGGCTTGTTGGTCGTCTTCCGCGAACCTCCACACCTCACCTCTTCGCCTGCTCCATCCCCAGACATCGTTCAACCTCTCTCCGCCTCTTCCTCCCGCAGATGTCCTATTCGCCCCTCGAGCAACACCTGGAATCAAGCCTACTGCCCTGAAAAAATGCTTTTTTAATCGCATCACGTTTTGTACTACTCAGATTCCCTTGCCTACTCCCCGTCCCCATTCGCTTGGCTTCACTCGCAGCTCATTGACCCTTCTTGAGTAATCGTCATTGTTAACAGATCCATCCTTGATGTGACAGTACAGCACAGAATCCGTCTCTCACGCGACCTGCGCTTCATTCCTTCGACTTTCGCCCCTGTCGTGGCCGGTTTTCTGGAGACTTTCAACGTTCTTCCACGGTTGGCCTGAAGGTTCCCCAGGGCTGATAACGCGCGATCGGCTCGCCTGCACGCTGACCACTTCGTTTTCACTCCCGAGAACTCGACGAGCTTTGGATCAAATCATGGTCACAGCCTTTGCCCCTACGAACGGTTAATCGCCAATGTACCGACGCTCGCTCATCATCCCAAGCGTTTTGTGGGTCTAGTTCCCCAGTGCCACATCCCCACTCGAGCGGGCGCAACATCCAGCTCTCGAGCAACAGCGCTGGCTTGACGCTGCGATCGAGGCCGCTGTGACTGCCTGAGTCTTTGTCTACAGTTCTCACTTGCGCTAATTGGCTAAATTCGACTTGTCTCTTCTCCGATCGTTCCGCTTCTCTATCCAGCTTGCTTTTCCGGCGGTTTTGGTCTCGCCCCATACTCTACAGGTTCGGCTTATTACGCTGCGATGAATCGAGTCCTTGAACCACCTTCGAGAAACCCTTTCACAAGGCCGGTGGAGATGTCGACAGAACCCAGAACCATCCCTGTCCTTTCCGCGTCCATTTCGCCCTCCGATCCGGGCCCCGGTGACCCCATGGACGTTAGCCCGCCCGCTTCCGCCACCATGGGGCCGCCGTCCCAAAGCAGTCCTGAAATCGACCATGGGCCGGGGAGTCATACCAATGGGAATACAGGGGACTCTGCCTCGTCACAGAACCCTGCTGGGCAACCGACCGGCGCTGCAGCAGCCGCACAACAGCCAAAGGTTGTACAAACGGCTTTCATACACAAGCTCTACAGGTAAAATGCACCGATAGTGGAGGCAAATTTCCGTCCAAGAAAAGTAGCTGACACAGCTTGACAGTATGCTACAAGATCAGAGCATTCAGCATCTGATATCCTGGTCTAGCTCAAACGAGAGTTTCGTCATGTCCCCGTCGTCGGACTTCTCAAAGGTTCTTGCGTATGTGACCCTCCTAGATCCTTCAGAATCCAATGGACCAATAGTGCTGAAGCATTCCGCTCATACTAGTCAATATTTCAAACACACCAATATTTCTTCCTTCGTTAGGCAGTTGAACATGTATGGGTTTCACAAAGGTATGTCCAGTCATCTAATTTATCAAGCTAGGTGGTCCTCCTCTAACGTACTTACCAAGTGAGTGATGTTTTCCATACTGGATCGCCAGATTCACCGATGTGGGAGTTTCGACATGGAAATGGAAATTTCAGAAAGGGGGACCTCTCGGGTCTACGCGAAATCAAAAGGCGTGCGTCAAGGCATGCACTGATACATCGCGATTCATTTTCAACACACAAGAACAACAATGCCTCCCAGCCGGGAACTCCCGCGGAAGCTGTTCCAGAGGCTCCAGATAGAATGGCCAATCTTGAACATTCCCTTTATGAAGTTCACTCACGCTTGTCTCGTATGGAAGATCAGCACGCTTTATTGAGCTCAAGATGTCAGGCGCTTACGGAGAGCTTGATCCGCTGCCATCAGGTATTCAATCGCGATTAGCACCAGTTTTGAGTAAGACTCTAACCTATGTTCCCAGTGGGCGAACTCTATGTCCCATTTCATCACGTCACTTGTCCCTGACTCAGACAATGTCATTCATCGAGAAGGTAAGTTGGGCCTCTTTCCAACCCATCGTCTGGACTATGGTTAACAGTTTTACCGAAGCTGTCAATATGCAGCGAGAAGTGGCTCGACAGCTTGATGTTGTTCGGGCGCTAGAATTGCCCAACGATATGTATATGCCGGGACAACAACCTTATTTCGCAAATTTGACCGTCGATACTGGTCCTCCTCTATCGCCTCGCCAAGTCGCGCAAGATTCTCGGAGAACTTCAATAGCTCGCCCGCCTATGCCCCCTCATATTTCTATCTCTCCTCATCGCTACGGGTCCATGGGCGGTCCAAATAACGCTCCTAACTATAACAGACCCCAAGCCGCTCCCCAGCCTCCTCCACCGCATCCACCCCATCCATTATCCGTTTCTTCACCACCTGGCGCAAACCTGGGAAGGCGCCATACTTCGGCAGATATTCGACAACTTGCTTGGCCACATCTGGTCCCTTC